AGAGGCCACACAACCAAAAACCAATCCAAGGGAAACACTGCTGAGGATAAAAAACAGCAGCTGGAGTCTCAGAGGGCGAGGTCGTGCCTTTCGGTGAACAACCGCATCATTTTATTTAGAACTGATGTCAGAGCTAGTGGTTAAACAGGGAGGGGCTGCCTGTACGGTGACACTGGGTACGTGCATGTTGTGTTCAAATGTGTGCGTGTGCGTGTGGTTGCATTTACCCAGCACATGTGTTGGGGGATGTGGCAGATGTTGCAGAGGCAAGGATTAGTGTGTGTGTCTTTAAGTGTGTGTATTAAAAATATCTTTGCCACAGCAGGAAGCCACAGTGGCCAATTACAGTGCAGCATCTGGGCTTGCACACATTTATTAGTGTGTGTGTGTGTGTGTGTGTGTGTGTAGAGGGGATGGGGAGGTTCAGGCGGAGTTCAGGTTATTTACATCTTGGCATGTTGAGTTTCAGTAAATGGGGAAGCATGTGTGTGTGTGTGTGTGACAGTGAGAGGCTTTGTGTCACAGCAACAGAATTTAAACACACACCATGAAGAAGGAGACAGAACAGGGGAGAGAGAATTAGAGGATACGATAGAATAAATACAGTGGACAATGGTGAGAATGGAAAAGGCCCTTTAAGGATGGATGGGAGGATAGGGGAGGAAAACAAAATAAAAGCTCTGTCATTTCCTGCAGAGATGTGATACCTCGCTCTTTTCTTTTACTCTTCACACTCTCAGAAAGGGGGGGGGAATACAACCCCAGCAACAAAAGGTACAACCCCACATTTTTAGTCTATTGCATAATTCCCATTTGCAGTCTGTTGTTAATTGTATATTTTTTTTTTCCAATTTCAAATAAATCACTCAGATAGTTGAGGATTTCTTGGCTGACTGAACTGAACTGCTGATTGACTGCAAGTCATTGGCAGACCTGGGTTCACTTTAATTCCATTTGAATGAATTGAAGTGACACTGGAACATAAAGTTTATGTTGTGAATTTGTGTTTTCTTTAAAAAAGTCACATAATTATAAAGTTTTGTTATTTTCTGTTGATTTACCATCGTCTAATTATAGCAGGGAAGTGAACGTTCTTACTGTCAGTATGAGTTGTGACTGTAGTTTGGGTATGGTTGGTTCACTTAATTAAGTGCTGATAGAGTATCAACTTTTCTGTTTGCTGTTGTTTCCTAATTTCCGACTTGGGTCATATAAATCTTGGTCCACTGTCATTATTATTATTGTTATCTTTAGTTAAATAATCAAACATTTCATATAAGGCCAAGGTACTGAGAATGTGTGTGTGCACACCTACACAGAAAAAACATTACAAAACCAGAGAAATAATAATTAATCACTTGTGCACTTCTAATCCTTTGTAGTAATTACGGGAATTAAAGTAGAAACCCAATTTTAATTGAGCTGCTGAGACAATAAAGCATAATAATTGCTTTGTAGAATATAAGAAAGCGGCTACTACAGGAGGCACTAGGTTATTGATGAGCAGAAAAGCCTGCTGTATTGCTCCTAATTATGATTAGGACTATGCGAGATCATGCTGGCTACCAGATATCCACTGATATGATCCAGCCCACTAATACCTGTATGCTCATCCGTGATGAGAGGATTTTGTGGTATTAAAAGGTTTTTCTCCAATTCACTGGAACATTTTTTTAATCTAATGAAAATATCAAAGCTTTGGGTCAATGTCGCTGCAGCTACCAGTTCTTTTTAGTGAGTAATGGTAAATTGAAGTCTCACCATGTTGTTACTGAGAGACTACTGTGGGGACAAAAATGATGGCGCCAAATGATTGGAGATGAAGCTTTACATTGGGTGGAGCAGGGAGAAAAGAAGGAAAAAGGGGTAGCAGAGGAAGATGAATATGTATTCAATGAGTAAGAAAGCTCTTAAATAACTTTAGGGCAACTCCAATTGACCATGTCATCAGTCAAGGTTTTCCCGTGTGCGAGGCTGAGGAGAGAGTCCACTCTAATGTGAGCACATCGACAAGTGGCTTCCATTATTCATGCGTTCAGTACAGATACTGTGTTGGCAGCACATTTCGCAGAGCACACCTTCGTTAAAAAGCTTGCTTGTGTGTGTGTGTGTGTGTTATATAAGATAAGAAAGTGTACGACTGTAAGTGCACTTTACTGGATACCCTTAACAAGTGTGATGCATTATTCCCCATTCATTCTCCAGAGTAAAGCACAAATTCATCCCGGTTTTCATGTCAGACTAAAACACTAAATTACAATATACTGTATATTGGACATTGAAAATGTTATAATCAAAATAAAATCATTCATAAAAGCAAATAATTGTCTACACCAGAATAATCCATACAAAATATTTATTGAGTTTATTAACAAATTATATCTACAATTAACTTTACAAACTAAAAACCAAAAAAAAAAAACACATAACGTACAATGGGAATTCCTAAATGGATAAAACTTTCTGAAGGTGGTCACGTTCAGTCTATCAAGAAATAATTAAGAATGTGCTCTGGCATTATTAAATGACATTGAGATTGCATTTCCATTTTTAATTAATTGAATGAAAGTGAAATGACCCCAGTCCTGCTGTGATAATTAGCTGTTAGGCAGCTCATATAGAAAATCTATTGGTCTCGAAGAAAGACTAATGTCTCTGGGTGCAGGCTGTCTATCCCATATATAAATGGCCATTTTTTTAAACTGACCAGCACAAGAAAGCACAAGAAAAGCTGACCTGTTGGCCCAGTAAAAGAGAGAGAGAGAACGATACAGAGTATAGATCGCTGCAGTGGATATATTGCTGTACAGAGCAGAATGTGCTCATCAGGGCAGAATTAGTCTATCAAGTACCGTAAGATAAAGCATGTAAAATATCCAGTCAGATAATGCATGGCCAAGTCTATTGACTGCACTCCATAAAGCATCTCAATGTGAAGGTTATTTGTTTGTTTGTTTGTTTGTATGTGTTGAAGGGGAGAGAGGACTGTTTTGATTCTTTGCTTTCTGGCCTTTCGCATTAGATTTAAAAAGACATAAAAGACTAAAATAGGAATTTATGTTTTAATCACTGCTGTCCTATCAGAGTTGCAGCTAGAATTGCCTCCGGGGGCAACTACCGCCGGAGCCGAGAAACATATCTTGCTGATGAAATTCAAATACAAATTAAATGAAAAACTGTTTCATTATATAAAGGTTCATTTCTGTTCAGTGTATACCTTTTCTAGTCTACTCTGTTATGAGGAAAAACACCACCATTAGCACAGATAGGCACAGTACTGAATGTCTATGCAATTCAGTCATCCAACTTTCCTTCTCATGCAGGCAGGCCATGATGCACACCTGCTTCTGTAGGGAGTAAGCCTTCAGGTAATCAGTTCAATTAGCTATATAATCATGACCGAGCTGCCTTCTCCTTATTAACGACAACAAATAAATGGTAAATTTTCGCACACTCAGTGGCCACAGTTAACCAGCCCAGCGCCTCTTATTGGCCTCAACCTTGTGTCTTTTGTCCCTGTTTACACTTACTGTTTCTCCATGTGTAACTACTGCCCCCCAGTGGTCAAAGCACCTCACTGACCCCATAGTTGCACTGCAGCAGGGACACACTTCTGATACAATACAGGGTTTTAATTAGACCAACAATATTTCTTCTCTCTTAGTGTTCAGAAATGACCAGAAATGATCCCCACTCCACTCAAAAATTAGTATTTTGTGTTTTGTTCACTTTGATGTTTGACCTTTACTGTGCAGACTGACACAGAGTTTGACACTAGGAGGCAGTTTGCATGTTCAAGGGGAAAGTTTCTCTGTGGTCACCTTGCTCACCTTAAATGTGTGTTAACATGTGTGATGTGGACACTTAAACCTGCCAGTGCACAACAGTGCGAATGGACTGTACAGTGAAGTAGGAGACATCTTGTACCAACCTACCTTTGCATATTCACAAATATGCAAATCATTACTCAAGGCAGACTACTAGGCATCTTTAAATTGACCTCCATTGGTTTCAGTTCACATCACTGGAACGGCTAGATTTTCAGATTCAAACTTAAGATACAAAATGCATATTATGTAGGTCACATTATTGTTAATGTGTAAGTGGGAACCACAATAACACAATAAACAGATGCCTATTTAATGAATTAGTATCAAATTACATTATATTAACATTTGCTAAAAACAGATATTTCCATTTTAAATTATGTTCCATATTTTTTGTGCACTCCAGGGAATATCAATCAAACTTGGTTATTTATTTTAAGAGTGGTGCTTATCTATCTTACTTACTTACATAACCATTCGCTTGTTTGCCGTCTGTTTCTTTTTCTTTTTTAATGTTGTCATCCTGTTAAAGTAGCCCTCTGTCTATTAGATATTGAGGTAAATGCACCACAAAAACTAATTGTTCATTGTGGTGGATTGCCTAACTGAAGCAAGACTGAATTTTCAAATTCATTTGGAAAGTATTGCTGATAACAATGATAGTCTGGATTGTTGCATGTCAACCTAAATACTGGTCCCTGACGCAGACACCACCTCTCCCTCTGGCCTATCTGCATCATTATATCAGTAGAACACCATTATCCGTGTATCTGCTCCTATTCTGACCTGAACTGGTCTCTGACAGAGACTGTCACCTCTGCATCAGTTCAAATGAGTAATGTAACATCTTGGCTTCTACAGAGGCTTTATTACTTAGCTACACAATAAACTGATATAAAAAGCAGTGACAGAACAATAACCCTAGCAGATAACTATCTATCTAACTATTGTTTCTAGTAACAAATTGGCTCTCCAGTGTAAATTTGTCAACTTTTTAAATACCCAACTTCTGTCAGTGATTTAAATAAAGGCGAAATGAGACACAACTCAAATGTGTGTTTATGCAATTCTTCTTAACGTGTAAGCTGATTTACAGTAATCATCAGTTCTATCAGAGGGGTGTCCTTGTCGGAATCCGGGACAGGAACACAACTTCCTCTGCAACAGCGACAACCTGACTGAAAGCACACAGACTGTCTGCGTCAGTGCGCCATGGAGAGAAACGCTGCAGTGTCGGCCCGCAGGACTCCTTCAGCACCAGAATGCAACATCTCGACCTCCACACTGGCCTTCGACCAGCACTTCACCACAACTGCCAAAGGAATACTCCTCATGACTGAAATAGTAAGTGTGAATTTGGATGTTAAGATGTTTGAAGAATGTATCATTGACAATGTTCAGTGGCTTTGAAATGGCATCATCACAACTGAGCCGATGGCGAGAAGTTGATATTGGAACAACTGATTATACATTATTGTCAGGAAGTGCTTATAAGTCTGATGTTTACGAGAGACTTTAAAAGAGAAGATAAGTGTGTTAGTGTTATATTAAACATTTTTCTCTACAGGTGACACACAAACACACACTTGGAGACTAGAGACAACTTGATCTGTGATTGGGTTGTTTCTAATCTGCAGCAGATCACTTATAATGGCAAGTTTTGTGTTAGAAAAAAAGATGCAGTAATTACTATCTTTTTGTATAAAATTGATCTAACATTTATAAGAGTGATAAGGGAATAAAAGGATGATGGATGGAATATTCCTCAGACTGTATTTAACAGAGTTACAGGAAAAACTAAGAACTATTTTTTTCTGTGAAAATAGGAAGTTAACCAAAAACACACCAAGCAAATCAACTCTTCCTCCTTTCTCTACCTCATTGTGTCTCTTCCTTTCGAAATCAGCTGAGGGAAAAGTCAGGGCAGTCTTTCTGTAAATACAGTCTGGCTGGCTGCCATGCAGAGGCTGGGCAGACCGCGGTTGGAGTTGACTGATTGGAAATGATTGCAACAAGTTTTAGTTCAAACTGAATTGCAGACACGCTCTAAAGCTGTTTAATTTGGAAGTTAGAGAACAGATGGTGGGATCATATATAACTTGTAATCATAGATCCATTAGATAATAAAACAATGAAAATCCTGAAAACACTATGCTTAACTGCAAATACTAACTTTTAGATTAAATTAATGTGATAGGTGCACTGAAACAGCTCAGTAACTCTGCAGATTATACGTTGGTGACCTATGAGTGATTTCATTTCACTTCAAGTCATGATTCACACCAGAAAGCATTTTCTTCCAGCAGGAATCTTTTGTTGTGAAACAGGAAGGGTGGGTTTGGATTCGTGTTGGGAGGAAAGAGATTTAGTTCCTCACCACAACACTTTGATTCAGTGGAGATGGGGCATGTTGGGTGAAATCACTCATAGAAAAACAAATGAATACCACACAGGCCTTTGAAAAAGTCATACCTCATTTGTCTCTCCTCTCCTCAATCTGAAGTAAATCAATAAGTGTGTTAAGGTCTTAAATTCCTCTCCTCTCCTCCAGGTGGGTGGTATGTTGGTGTGGATTCTGGTAGGGGGTACAGATTATTTTCATCTGTCTGCTCTCTGCTGGGTGATGTTCGTTGCCGTCTTGTGCTGGGTTCTGACCATTTGCCTGTTCATAATTTACCTCACTGGAGCCCACAACAGGATACCACAGGTCCCCTGGACTACACTGGTAACACACACACACACACACACACACACACACACAAAATACCCATGTTTTCTGCTTTATGTGTGATTCACTGTTTGTGTCTTTCTGTCTCCAGTCGCTGTGTTTTAACTGCAGTGCTACGGCTCTGTATCTGGTGACAGCAGTAGTAGATGCTCTGTCAGTGAACCAGGCCATTAGGGGGCGACACAACTACAACTGCTGGGCAGCATCTGCAGTAAGAGCACTCCTGTCAATATGATCTGTTGAGGAAATGGAAAATGTGTGTCTAAAGCATCACTGAAGATTGTCATTGTTGTGTCCACATTACACACAACCAGACAATAGCAGAGCAGAAAAACAACCGAACAGCAGACTGCTTCCACGAGTTTACAAAGAAACTGACAAATATTACAACAACCGTGTGTGTGCTGTAATGCAGGATTTGTGCAGTAAATTGACCGCACTGTGCAAAAGCAGATGCTGTCTTCAGTCCGGCTACCACAGAGGACACCAAGGTTAGGTTCTCAGTATTGTTTTTAGGAATAATGAGCTGAGGAGTAGTTTGCGTTCAACATATGTGCACAAATACAAATAGTGGATTTAAAAGTTTATTCTTATATTTTTAGACTGATCAGACTATTTAACTAGTAACAAGTGACAATATTATTTTAGAAATGAGGTCAAAATCAAATCAGCAGAGGCCAAGATATCCTAACTTTTAGTATCTAAAATCTAAAATAGCGGATCCTACATTTCCCATAATGCAAGTGCATCTTTAATAGATGATTTAACTGATGATGATAATATCAGGTTTATCTTTCAAACTTTAGGAAGCTAAGAGAGAATTATGTACAGTTGGAGCAAGCTGAGCAGACCTCATGAGTAAACTGGAGGTTTTGTGAAAATTGGTGGATTGGTCCTTTACAGTATGTGTTTTTAGGATAGAAAAAAAAAGATGATTATTATGGTTAATTTTTCTCCACCAGAACTAGTAATCACATAAAGAAATTAAGGAAGTAAAGCAACTATAAAGGAAACATTTTACACATATCATAGATGCCAGATGTGACAGTCTCAAAAACTTTCAGGTGTCATAAACAGTTAAACAAACAAACAAACAAAAAAGAAAAAAAGGCTGCAAAATCTTAACTAAAATACATGATATGACATTTGACAAAAGTGAGATGAATGTTCTCGTTCTCATTGTAAGAAAAAGTGGCTATGTACTATTTGGTTAATAGCCCTGTGGTTTCAGGGTTCATTTTGTTATTTCAGACTAAAGGGAACATGTAGCCTTTGCCTGCCACATTAGTTGTTTTAAAGTAATCTACCTAGCTGTGTGTTATGTGGAAACACACATTTCACTAGTGCTTCGACTTGGATTGAGTAAATAATGAGCAAATGATGCTTATTATAAGATATTAAAATGTACTTTTACTCATTATTGTTGTTTCCCATTTTCCATTCTCCTCTATTCTTTTTTTTCTCATCCTTTCTCTACCTTTAACACTTCTTCAGTTCTTTGCATTTCTCACCACACTGTGTTATGCAGGAAGCAGTTACCTGAGTTACCATGCCTGGAAAACCACAGACGAGGGACAATAGAGACATTGTTCAGATTGTGCCAGAGTGCTCTGATACTCCAGAGAAGGACAAGGCTTCAGTCAAATAAAAACTTGTATAGAAACTGTAAATATGCTATGATGGAATGCCTTTGTGTTTTTAGCAGACAGACATAGAGGCAGAGGGGGTATTTACTACCAAGAGCCATTTGTCACACACTAGTGAAGTTGAGTTAGTTGATAAAAAAGTTAATAAAAAAAGAACTAAACATGTATGTATGTTTGAGGTTGCATGATCTGTAGTGTCACACACATGAATGAACAGTGTTTACGATTCTGCACCCAGTAACATTACATGTAAAGTCAAACGCATTTTGTTACTGGTGTGGTAAAAAACCAGTAAGATGCCGGACACACAATTACAGTAAGAATGTGACATTGAGTATATATATATGAGATAGCAGACCATAGCAGGCCTTTTTTTAAATTTTTTGCTTTAAATATTTTTCAAAAACAACCAAGTACAGCAGTAATAGCAGTATCGCTTGCTTTTATTTTGCTGTTTTATGAATTTTACATAAACATTTTACAAAAGAGTTTAAGTCATACTAAACATTTTCCAGGAATGAAAACATGCAGAAATAAAAATCATATAGACACTACAATAATCCTGTTACCCGTACAATTAACATTCATCAGAACATGTGATTCTGATTGTGCAGTAAACCACTGCTTTGTTTCCTTCAATGCTGCAGATGTGCAAAAAGATTTTGATTAAACATTAACTTTCCAGAGGTATTCATACAATCAAGTAGCA